AGCCTCATTATCCTCCACCCCCAAGATATCTGAAAGAAACTGGAACAAAGGACAGTAATTACAGAAGTGTGAGTGATTGCTGGACCCAGACTAGCAGGAGACTAGTCTGTAAAAGGAAGCTTACTGGAACTGGTGAGGTTTTATTTGTGTTCAGTTTCCTTAGACATAGACTTGCATGTTTTATTTTATTTTACTTGGTAATTCACTTTGTTCTGTCTGTTACTACTTGGAACCACTTAAATCCTACTTTCTGTATTTAATAAAATCACTTTTTACTTATTAATTAACCCAGAATATGTATTAATACCTGGGGGCGTGGAGCAAACAGCTGTGCATATCTCTCTATCAGTGTTATAGAGGGCAAACAATTTATGAGTTTACCCTGTATAACCTTTATACAGGGTAAAATGGATTTATTTGGGGTTTGGACCCCATTGGGAGTTGGGCATCTGAGTGTTAAAGACAGGAACACTTCTGTAAGCTACTTTCAGATTAAGTCTGCAGTTTTCAGGCACGTGGTTGAGACCCTGGGTGGGTCTGTGTTGGAGCAGACTGGCGTGTCTGGCTCAGCAAGACAGGGTGCTGGAGTCCCGAACTGGCAGGGAAGCAGGGGCAGTAGTAGTGTTGGCACATCAGTTGGCAGTTCCCAAGGGGGTTTCTGTGAGTCAACCCGTCACACACTCAGGTTGTAAACTTCAGTATATTTAGAGATATGCCAGGCTGAGAAATTTAAGAATTCAAAGTGAAGTGTCCAAATATAGATCTAGATATTGGAAGTTATCAGCTGCATTGAGGTGGCCAAACACTATTATAACCCTGATACTATTACTCTTTTCCAGTTCTATCATTGTTCTTAATCCACTTCATATATCTTCTTTTCTACATGCCTTTGCAAAATGAGAGGATTAAAAATGTGTGCCAGAAATAAGGAGAATGGGTTTAGAGCAAATGTCAAGGCTACCCATGCCATCAATACTTATTTTTCATTAGCTTTACTGTTGACAAGTAATTCATTAACTTCATGAGCTTGAGTATAGGTTAAGCTAATTTTAGCACTAACTAAGGCAAAGTTTGTCAGTACGGAATTTTTTTTAGAATTTAACATTTTTATTTAAGGTGGGTGAAGTTTCAAACCTATCTTAACAAATAGAAGACAATCTCATTGACTTCAATGGGCTTTGGAACAGGCCTAAATTGCTTATTAAGAATATTCACAATTCTTTGCATATCCACTTCACTCAAATGGACTATGACATCAATACCTCTCCAACTGCCTTTTCAAGCATTTGAATAGTTTTGTAGTATGTACATTAATGAAGCAATGGTGGAAAGCTTTTACTGCTAGTCCTGCACTCGTGGCTAAAGAGAGGTTTAATTCTCCAACACTGACGATCTGACGCTTTCAGTAATACTAAAATTCAGTTTAAAATTCTTTTGCAGTTCTCCGAGACCAAAAATCAAAACCAAACCATTAAGAACAGTGTTTAAAAAGGTTATGCTCTTGTCGGCTCCACACTTTGATATCAAATGGTTTTCAGTGATATGCTGCAATGCCCAATGTTCTGAGATCACGTAGAGAACTATCTGGGTGATGTGTGTCGGTTGACAGGAAAGCAGTTCCATTTCACAAACAAATTCAAGGTTTTGAAATTTGTTTTTGTTTCAATGCAGAATGAAATTGAGACTTTTAGCATTTTTTCCCTTGAGCCCTATCCCAGAATAGCCAAAAGCCCTGTGGTCAGGGCACTTGTTGGGATATGGGAGACAAGGTTTTAGTACCTGCTCTGTCTCATTTGGTTCAGGGACTTGAACTTGGGTTTCCCACTTTCCAGGTGATTTCCCTGAGCTAGCCATTGGGCTATGGAGCCAGTTTCTCTCATCATCTTTTGTTGGAGCTGTTTCACTTCATATAAATAAGTATTCATTGGGCCAGAGAAAGACACTGATTCCATAGCCCAGTGACCAGTTTAGGGCACTTGCCTGGGATGTGGGATACCCTGATCTGAATCAGGCAGTGCAGGGACTTGATCCTGGGTCTCCTTCCTCCCAGGTGAATGCTCTGAACCACTAGGCTTTTGTCTATTCTAGGGTCGGTCAGTCGGTCTCTCCTGATTTGATGTGAAATTCCATCCTGAGCCCGAGAAACATTCTGGACAAACAGTTTTGTCAAAACAGACACATTTCCATATTTTGGTTTCAACAAATCGGCTTTTTCGATGAAAAATTCTGGACCAGCTCTACTCCATAGCATATCTGCCAGTGAGTGAAAAAGGGTGGGTTTTCTAACAAAGCAATTTCCATAAACAATACAGGGGTTTTGAAAGAATTTTACCTCTGATTGAGATGCAAGGGTTTTCTACGTTCCCTTAGAGTACAACTTACAACTGAACCAGAGGGCTGTCAGAAAGAAAAGTGCAGTGAGAGTGTGTGGTAGGGAAGAGAAGGGAAATGTGAAAGCTTGAAAGTATGAAAAAATTAATTCTCCTCTTGTCTTATAGAGTACTTACCATTCCATTATCCCTTGGGTGCATTTTTCCCCTTCCACAATCCACACCTCCATCCCGTTCTCAAAAACGAAATTAGAAAGCAATAAATATAAGTTGAAGATTTTTGCTAAGTACATTTTCTATTTCTATAGTATTTTAAATACTAATGTTATTTCTCTTTTTTGAAACTCATTTTCACGTTACTGCGAGTGCTGATCATGTGGCTAGGATCAGTTTTAGACACGATAGCAAACTATTTAAATTTGATCCTCCCGTCCCCCTCCCTTCATTGTGGTGCACCTCTCTTTGCTTTAAGTGAAATGTACTCATTATTTATGGAAAAAATAGTATAACTAAACCAGGTGAATAGTTTGTTTTGTTTTAAATGCAATGGGCCAAATTCTTAAGTTGGGTAAACTGACACGGATCCACTGAAGGCAATGTAAATACATCAAATTAGTCCAACAGAGGATGTGGCCCATATGTTAAAAACATCCAAAACAACAAATGTAGTCAATTTTGCTTCATGATTTTCTCATAGCTGCAATGAAATTGCTTTGCCATCATATTGACTTTGTTGATGAAATCCCACTTCAAGTGACTGGTGTATAAATACTCTGCAGCTAAGTGTTTAAGTTAAGTAGCACATATTAAGAACAGACTGCAGTTTTTCATGTCCAAAACATAACCATTTTTGTAGCTAAAATTTGTGGTTTTAAATTTTAAAGCCACCTATGAAAGTATATCCCACTCCTGATTTTTGACAACCAAAACCTTAAAACATATTTTACTCTTTGGAAAGCATTCTTTGTTAAAGCCAAGTGTATAAGGGTTGGTATCTTAGGCTCGGTTTCAGGCTGATGCAGTTTGAAATAGCTGAGATATTAAACTTTAGAAAAGTCTGAATTTTTGAGAGTGTCATTCATTATGAAGGAGATATGGGCACCAGAGTAATACAAGCAAAAACCAATAAGAACTAATTGGCTATAATTATTTCACTCCTACAGGTTTTTCTACACAAACTTTTGAGACAGCCGTGCATGGAATTCAACTGTTATCTTTTTCTGGCCACTTTGGCCTATACAATCAGTCACGTTTTCATAGTGAGATCGCATATCAGCAGCAGTGTCTACACAAAAAATCATGTTTGGATGTATTTCGATCCAGCTACTGAGTAAGGACAAGTAAAGGTTAGTAGTAGGCTGCCCCTCACCAGCAACACCAGCAGTCACTATAGCAACAGCAGAAATAATAGGAGGAAGTTGGTATTGATCTTTCTATTCCCTGCTAACAGCATTCTTCAGCTTAGTCTTACACTATGTTGTTCACTGTACAATTGGCTACCATTGCAGAAGCAGTTCACACATCCCTGAGGTACAGAAGTTACCTGGAAACAATAGTGCAGAGAAGGCAAGAGGGGCATTAAAAAAATCACTGAGTTCTGGTCAAAGCACCTAAATACAACAGACAGCAAAGCAAGCAGCACAAGAGCAATCTGAGGAGGTCAATAAGTGTAGTCTTATTTTACGTGCCCTCCATCTAGATTTCAAATTTCCAGTGCATTCTCCTTCCATCAATCTTAAGGATTTATAACAGGCAAGTCACAGCAGTAGCTGACCTAGGTGCCAAAAATGGAAGATGATTTGGCAAAGCATGGTCTGTGCTCAGTGGAAGCCCATTACATCATGCAAGCACATTGTGGAATGGCACTGAGCCAAGAAAGATAGAGGAGACAGATTTCTTGCACCCATTGAAGAGACTTTCAAATTAACAATGGTGTAGCTACAGTGAGATTGGCATGCATATTAAAATAAATAAAAGACAACCAACTTCTAAAAGAGATTTTTGGTTAGACAGAGAAATCATCATTTATAACAAAAATGCCACATAATGTTGCGTACAATTGCCAAATCACAGCACAGTATGTTGTCAACATTCCTGTACGGTTTAGCTGCAAAATATTTTTCATGGCGCTCTCTGTGCTGGCAGTCTGAATGAAAGTAATAGATTGTAGCTATCTGCATGACTTCATCCTCACCCTGAACATTTCTGGTTAGGATAAGCAAAGAAGGAAGAATGGTTTAAAATGTGGAAGTGAATTAGGAATGTTCTTCAGACCATTCCCCACTATATTTATAATCATTAAGGAATGAGCCAGAAGAGTTAAGAGAATATGGTCCCTAGCTAAGAACAGTGGGCTGCTTATGTTGAAAAGAAAGAAGAAAAAATACTACTCTTGCAAGCCAGTAGATCCCTTTACCCTTAGGTACCCACTGCCTTACCCAATTTTTGTAAACTGGTACAAGAACTCCATTGAAATCAATTACACTGGCATAACACTGTAGTAATGCAGTGGTATACTCAGCTATATACATCAAGAAACAGACGAGTTTACAACAATTGGATAAGAATCATCACCTCATTAGAGTGATTATAAAAATCACACTAACACAACTTCAGGAAAATATACCACCACTGTTCCAACAATGCAAAGACAATAAAAACATCAATTTCACTTTTAGTCAAGTTTATTTTATTGTTTTATGTATTAATTATGTTTAAATGTTTACACTGAACAAAAAAGTATTGTACTTAGACAACTAAACAATTATCAATACATTTAAAGCTTCTAAAAATGATGCCAAGATAATGATTATATCATAATCCAAACAAATTATAACAGTATATGATATTTAAGTGCTCTGGGAACTCTGTTAATAACAAGTCTCCCATCATAACTCAAAGAAGCAAAAAGCCATGGGTCTGCTGAGGACCATTCCACTGCATATACACTGTCTTCATGTTCTTCATAGGTAGCTATTATGCTGTCCTGAAGGGGCTCTTTAGTCCTGGAATAAAAATAGTAAAGAGCAGTGACTGTACCTGATTTATAAGGCACTATAAATGTCACAAACAAAGAAAGATATACACGCCTTGATTTACTGTACAGCAGTGGACTCTGTGGACACACCGTTATACTCATGCCAACCACTAATGCTTAGATTTTATAAAATATAGCATGATCATGTCAATATTAAAATAGCCATTAGTAGAGAATGGGGAGTGTCATTTTCACTACCTAAAATGTCAGTTATTCACAGTTCAAGGAAGTTCTAGGTCTCATGGAAGAAGCAACATATTGCCTACTCTAAGCACCTCCATATTTTTAAAAAATGTTATGTAAGCTACAGAGCATGACAAAAAAGCAAATCATTAAATAATTTTTTCCTCAGATTAACATATGGTCTAACTCAAACTCACCTCCCCCAGATTTTTATCCTTTTATTTATTTATTTGTTTAAGTGAATTTTGAATCTGTCAAAACTAGCTTTATGGCTGAATGCATAATGTAAACAACTAAGGGACAGAACTCAATCTGACCCTGAGTGCCTTTTGATGCAGTGGGCCTGATCCTGCAGTCCTTACTCAGGCAAAGTTCCCATGGGAGTGCTGCAGAATTGGGCACATAATCTCAAGAGCAGTGGAAGACACCATATTAACCTCGTCTCCTGTCCATTCCACAGAAGTATAATATTGGCTCCAATGGAGAAGCTTTCTTGTTTTTTCACCTTATATATCACCTAACACCTCTGAGCACATGGTAATTGAGTGCTAAGAGACAGATATAGTCTTTTATACCACAAATGTTTACAAATTGATGCACATAATTCTTTAATTTCCAAAGTACACAATATGGATTGATAGTACGATACTAGCAATGCACTCTCCTTTTCTTCCAATCCCTTTTTTTTATCAGATGCTACTTCAGTACGTTATTCTGTGGGTTGGTGGGTATTGAGTTTTCAGCGGATGACATCAGATTTCTCTCCTGGCTGATGAAAATCAGTGAAGCTTTCAGAAGCATCCCCCTACCTCCCAGAAACAGACTTATATTACAGCTGCCATCCTCCTACCAGAAGGATATGACAGGGAACCCTATGAATACTACTCAATCACTTAACGGATACAGCTATGATAGAAATGAAGTGTTGCTGGCTGCCTCTGCCCTTTTCCTCTAGTCTCCAAGTGTTCAAAGCATGAATCTCTTCAACAACAAAAGTAAAAACAAATCTGGTACTGAATTTGTATGATTTGCAGGGCTGCATGTAGTATTAGTGCCAGTGCACCTAACCAGCCCAACCAGCTGTGAATTTAATATCACAATTAAATTTAAATTCAATTCAATAATTAATGCAACTCTCTAATAACTGCAGTTTGATTTCTGATGTTTGGTTTCAAAGACATCATCTTTTACTTATACTATTTCAGGGAAACGACCATAAATGACACAGAAGAGACGACATACAGCTTATTGGTTAACTGTGAAGAGTAGGATGTATGCTGCAGAACTCCTGAAAGTGTACTTTGATACACTCCATCTAATAACAGATCTAGTAAGCCCACAATGCACATTTCATCTCCTCTATAGTGTTTTCTGACTTCTTAAATGACACGGCTGGTTAAGAAAAAGTTGGTCATGTCCCCAGATAGCAATGTGCCTCACGCAATGCTCACCCACTTATCCAAAACTCCATTATTCTGAAGGTTTCAGATGTCTCTTTGGATAAGCAGGGGAGCAATGCATGGTGCATATTGCTGTCAAGGGACATGACCGACTTTCAGTTAACCAAGAGTCTCAGTTAACGAGAGGCTGGATAAACAGGGATGGATAAACTGCTAGTTTACACTATTTTCCGTATGAAAGATATGACTTTGGTGTATCAATTCAAATAATATATTTTGTATAGTTTAATATAAAAAAGGAGGATTGTATGTTCAGGAAAGCATCTTGAATTAGCAGATGAACTACTGTTCTGCATTTCACTTCAACTCTTCTATTTTGAACCCTCCTCTATTGTTCCTTCTTTGATGAATTTCCCATTGAGGATTAAAAGTAACCTGGTAGTATTCCTTAAGGAGAGCATATTATTAAAAATAATTCAGACCACATGAGCTCAGGACTAGACATGGTAGCATTTTACAGTTTCTTCCTCCATAATGTAGGCCTGGCCCAGGGACATCTCTATTAAGGAGCTGAAGGAGGCATAACCTATGGATCTCTTACATAAAAGACTAGATAATATACAAGATATTCAGGCAAACATTGAACACAGGATGAAAATTACTGCAGGGACAGCACAAAAGGTCCACTAGAAACTTACTTCCACTATTAACCTTGGAGATATTGTACATGCTCTGATGAAAGAAAGTAAGAAATTATACTTTAAAATTGTGCTACCTGGATAATTTTCCCAATGGGGATGCACCAGTATGGACAGTAGCAGAATAATGACCGATATATCTGAAAAGTGGGGGTGCCAAAGGAAGAAGAAATCAGAACAAAAGAAGTTTGCTTTTCACACGAGAAATCTCTTGGTGAACGATCATTTTATCCCTTGCTCAGAGACATCCAAATAAAATGTTTGCTGGGTATCCAGTGCCTTGTATTATTTTGGTAACCCAAGAACCCCAGAGGATATGTAATTTGATACTATGTAAAGCTAGGCTGCTTACAGAGCTTCAGTTTCAGAATCCTAAAACAGAGTTGACAATCAGTTTTATGCAGACTGAGAAGCAGCTGAGACCACCATATATCGAATACTGTTTGGGTCACCTAGTAAGATTTAGGCTGGGCCGGTTGGACAAAATTTACTTCAGCCAAGGAAATTGATGTTTTCATAGACAGTAAGCAAAGTGAGTGGTCAAGTGGTTTGTCAAGAAAACCATAGATAAATCAAGATTTAGATATATTCTTAGATAAATAAAAGTTTGTGTCTACATGTACAGCGCTGCAGCGGCACAGCTGTACCAATACAGCTGTCCCACTGCAACACGGATGGTGAAGATGCTCTATGCTGATAGGAAAGAGCTCTCCCGTTGGCATAAAAAAACCATCTCCCTGAGCGGCATAAGCTATGTCGGTGGGAGAAGCTCTCTTGCCAACAGTGCTGTGCACACAAACACTTATGTCAGTGTAACTTATGTTGCTCGAGGTGTGCGTGGGGGGAAAATATTCACCCCCGTGAGTAACACAAGTTTTGACGACATAGGCTGTTGTGTAGACATAGCCTAAATCTGCTCTTTAACTGTTTATATCAAAGTGCATTTAACAATGTTTCTATATTTCATTATCTATTACAGCTTTATTATTCCCTGACATAGCAATAAACAGCATCATGCTTCAGTCTGCAATTGCTGATTAACTCTTATGAGAATGTTTAACTGCTTTCTTCAAAAAGTTTTTATGATTAAAAGGAATATTACCTGTGATATGGTTGATCTAGTACACCAGAGGTTTAGATCCCCAGCCTGCTGCTTTCTTGGAAGAGTAATCTGGCAGGATTATATTCTGGGTTTATGTGTTTAAGAAACAAGCAGGACATTATTTCTTCCTTGTAATAAATTTTCCTGAAAAAGTTGCTTTAGTGTCAACTTTTTTTAAAATATCATTTTAAGAGCTTCTTCTGAGCAGACACATCTACTTGCCTATCTGTTTATCTAGGTTCTTGTACTGCATCCATCACCATCAAAATATGTATCTATCTATATCTATATCTCCTGCACATCTTTGAGATCTGTGTCAGAGCTGGAACAGGGCTTTTTCTCCTTTTGTTATCCTATTTGTATAGCATGACCGCCATTAGCTTCTCCCATGGAAGGAGGGGAACTTTCATTTGACTAAATAACTTTGAGGTTAACTGTATTACAATCTTGTAAGAGAAGCCTGTTTAGCTTTTGGATAATTGTTTTCATGTAGAGTGCTGTTACTTCAAATTACTGTCCATGCTAACAATCACTTAGGCCTTGGCTACACTTGTGGATTCACAGCGCTGTGGCAGCACTGTGAAACGCGAGTGTAGTCGCGCCGCCAGCGCTGCGAGAGCTCTCTTGCAGCACTGCAAGTACTCCACCTCTCCAAGGGGAATAGCTTGCAGCGCTGCGAGCGAGCGTGCAGCGCTGCAGGCGCTGATTACACTGGCGCTTTACAGCGCTGCACTCGCTGCACTCAGGGGGGATGTTTTTTCACACCCCTGAGCGCAGCAAGTGCAGCGCTGTGAATTGCCAGTGTAGCCAAGGCCTTAGGTTTGCAGTGCTTGCGATTCCATACTGTCATCAAAAACTTCAATAAAAAGAAAGCTTAAAAAACGAGCCATCAGAAATCATTAATTCTCCATCGGAACTAAAGTTAAATCTTGTTCAACCTAAAAATTGTTTAGAAATAAACCCAACCCAGTAGAGCGGCAACAATATACAGCAGGGGTGCCCAAAGTGCGGCCTGAGGGGCAAGCATGCCCCACAGAGTTCTAAAATGCACCCCGCAGATACCCTCTCCCTGTAACTGCAGGGTAGAGCTGATCAGCTGCAGGATTTTATTGCTGGTAAACTCAACCAACATGGTATTTTTGTTGCTCCGTTAAGGAAGATACAAGTCTTAGCAAATATTATGGCTGTGTGAATTTATCTGATTTTATAAAATTCCATCCAAATTTATATGCAAATTAGGGACAGCCTTCAGTTTCCTGTAGATTTCCAATTTGGCCCTCATCACAGCCAATTTTGACAGCCTCAAAAATACAAACATATCAGCTGAATAATACTCCTAGTCGAGCTTATTTTTAGATTACTTGTGTGGGAACGGATCAATGATTTTTAACCATTCATGCAATAGAAAGACCGGTCATTTTCTCACATTAATAAAACCTCAATCTCTCCAACAGAAACATCTTTAAAACACACAAAATCTGTATTTTAAAATAGATTGGCATTGGTGGTTAAATATGATATATTTACTAACTTGAATGAAGAAATTAATAGGAAATAATCATACATTTGTTAAAGACAAAACAAT